TTGGGGGATAGAATAATAAAATGTTGCATCATTATAGAATTATCAAGCAACCAATTGGAGTCACAGAGGTTGACAATTTCCTCTGGGAAGTGAGCTACAAATTTCCCAAGCATATGACACATAATCAGGATACTTCCCTAGTTCTATTATTAGATCCAACTGTGAATATTTAAATGAAGACCAAACCAAAAACGTAGGGGAAGGCTTAGCATGTTTTTAAGAATAATGAGTTTTAAGTGTATTTATAATTTGTTTATAAACAAAAATGAATGAATGACCACATATTGACAGCTGTACGAAAAAGTTCTATCAGCTCCAGAAAACTTGAGAAAATTCACTTATATTTCTCCCTCAAATTATGCCTATATCCCCTATAACCACATCAGGTTTGAAGTCCTAAGGCAGAGAGACTGTGAAGAACCTTAGCTGTAGTAAAGGGCATGGTGTGACAGCACTGTCTTTGGTGTTTGCTTCTCAAGTCTTAGGTCACATCTACTTTCCATTATAACACACATTCAGTTGAGCTTGCAGAGCAAGCCCTCTCTGCATAATGGTGGCATCCTCTCTCCCACCACCAGAAAATAGGAATGGAGGGGAAAGAGAGAGAGAGAGAGAGAGAGAGAGAGAGAGAGAGAGATCAAAGTTCAGTATGGCTGGAGAGACTACTAGTGAATTGTTTGCAGCACTTGCTGCTCTTGAAGAGCACATGGATTCCCAGTTTCCATGACAGGAAGGCCACAACTTCAACTCCAGGAGATTAGATACCCTCTTCAGCCTCCTCAGGCACCACGAACACACACATTAACCTAAATAAAAACATTTTTTTTTATCTTGGGGGAAAAGTTTCTAAGTCATATCAAGAATCTGTCCATGTAGTTGGAACAAAGCTTCCTGTCCATTGATTAGAGCAATATTGCCACAACATTCAGAAATATTGCTTGAGCAGTTAGTGTGTTTAGTATGTCTAGCATTTGATGTCCTGAATTTCAAATGTTGTTGTTTTCATATAATTCACTGTCTCTTACCCTAAGATTTTAAAGATAATAAAAGTTTAAGCTTTTCTAAGAAATAATTGGTTTTGGATAAGTTAGCTTTCAAACAGGTAATTGGGTAATGAAACACAAGGACTTGACTTCCCTGCTGTCAGATACCAGCATTCTTTCATCGAGTGCCTGAACAAAGTCCTTTACTCACAGACTTAGGATTTTCTTTCACATCACCTTACATTATAATAAGGTAATTAGGAGAACATGGGGATGCTAAAAGGGGGAAAACAATCAGATCCATCATTGGGCCAATTACTAATTAAGAGTATGAATAAGTGGTCACAGGGGGAAGTGATAATTAGTACTGACCACTTGAAAGCTATCTGGCCATAATGTTTAATTCAAAAACTTCTAAGGATCACTTCTAAGAAAATAATTTAAAATGTAGCAAATGTTACCTTGATTACAATACAGAAGGCTTAGAAATGGGAAACAATACAGGTGTCTGAGAGCATAGGAATGTTTAAACTAACTGAGGTAAATTAACTGGGTGAAATATTATGTTGCCATGATGTTGAGACACACTGACTTGTAGTCATCTTTTTTATATTCCTATCTACTTTTGGCATCAGCGATATACTGGCCTCAGTGTGTTTTGGAAATGCTTTTTCTTCTAACATTTAGAAAACTTACTTTAGTTAATTCATGCTAGTGACTGACATTTTCTTGTTCTTGGTAAATCTACCTAATGTTTTATTGATTTTGCTGATAATTTCAAAGAATCAACTTTGGGTTTTGTTCATTTTTTTCCTATTTTTGTATTCTCTATTTCTTTGATTTCAGCTATAATCTGTATTATTACCTCCCCCCCTTGTTTTGATTCATCTTTTTTCAGTGTCTTAAGATAGTAAGAGTAGATCTTTTTGTCATCAATATTTACAGCTATAAGTTTCCCTCTCCATACTGCTGCATTCATATTCATAAATTCTGGCATCTTATGTTTTCATTGCCAGTCAATAAGAATCTTTTCTTTTTTGCTGATGATCTCTTCCTTGACCCATTGATTGACTAAGAGATTTTTTGCATATCATACCTTCGATAATTTCTCAAATGTTTATAGTGTTGAATTCACTAAAATTGATGCTTACAGAAACTTTCTAATGATGTGGGAAAGGACTTCTGTCACTATTGCTATTGTTGGCTCTGCTTTATTGAGCTTACTTAATGCCATACTTTTTATTCATGCTCACATTTAAGTATGCACAACTGAGGCTTAGAAATTAAATAACATTCCTAGGGTCATACATGTTACTAAAGTAAATAAAAATCAAGATTTAAAATTACATTGTCACTATAATTAAATTGAAAATTACAGTTTTTAGAAAACAAACACTAAGGGAGGTTTGCTTTCCAGTGGTGACACATATTTTGTTCTGTTATTTCTTTTGAATTTTCTCTTAGAAGGACATTTCCAGTTGTGGTAGAAAACGTGTTTTGTGGATGCTGTGCATGTTAAAGTGTGTGCAGATATACATGTATAGTGCACACAGAGGTCAAAGCAAAATCATAACTGTCCTCCTTCAGGTGCTACCCACCTTATTTCTTCACAGTTAGGTTAAGCTGGCTGCAGTGAGCCCCAGGAACCTGCTTCTCTCCAGTTCCTCAACACTGAGAATATAAACATGTGCCAGCATACCCAGTTTTTTTGTGCACACACACCAATCAGGATTCAAGGGGTCTAACTCAGGTCCTTTTACTTGCAAGACAAACACTTTTCGGACTGAGCCATCTCCACAGGCAGCAGAAGAGGTGTTTTTGAACAAACTGTTCTTTTAATTGGGAAAGACAATAAACTTAGCAGTTTATTGTCGAAAAGTTGAAAAGGATAAATTAAATGGTACATTTTATTGACTTTATGAATGCTATTAAATTCTTTATAACTTTTCCAAAATCAAATCATAGAGCTGAAAACGTGGCACATATAAGCAAATAGCTAGGCCATCTCATTTTTATTAACAGTAATAAAAGGCATCTAAGAATAAATCAGATCATTGAGCGTAAAATTACAAGATAGCATACACGAGAAATGCAAAAATAGGACATGCTCACTGAAGAGAAATGCAGCAAACAGAAACACACCTCCGCAGGGTGTTTCTCACTCCTCTATCATTGCAGCTTTTCTACCAAGACCTCAACCGTGTTGTTTTGCTTTGCCTTTCCCAAAATCTTTCCCCATGCTTCTGAGGGAACCGCCCCTCAACACCGAAGTTTGTGTTAGATGTCTACCATGCTCTGAATCCAAAAGACATGGAAATAAAAGTGCAGTGTAACTTGCTTTTAATCATTTTCAGAGGCTGACTGTGCTGGATTCAGCACTCTCTTTGAGTAATTTTCTTCATCACTTGGAATGCTCATTCTGTGTATTCCTGACTGGAGAGTTTCCGTTGAGAAATCTGCTGCCAGTTTGATAGGGATAGCTTTAAGTGTCGATTGGTACTTAGATACTTTTATGTATGTGTGTGCATGCATGCATGTCCTTACATCTCACTATAGATAGAATCCAGGGCCACATGCATGCTGGGCAAACCCTGTACCATTAAGCTACATCTCTGGCCCTTTCTCTTGTCCTCTGAAACTATAAGATGATGTAGAAATGAACTTCTCTGGTCATCTCTATTCAGGATCATTTTTATTCTGCTGTACATGAATATCTGTATCTTCTCCAAGATTTCCACACACTTTCCTGTTGTTTATTTCTTACACCTTCAATTACATTTTCCCCTTGAGAATTCCAGAAGCATAGGTATTCATTCATTTGATGAGGTCCCAAAGGTCTTTAATGTGCTCTCTTTTGTGTGTCACTAGAATATTACCAAAGACCTGTTTTCATGTAAAATATTTCTTCCATTTTATCTAGTCTGTTCTTTAGTCTCTCAACTACATTGACTTTGGCTTGCTTCAATTCTTTCATAAACATCTTCCTATTGCTCTGCTGAATTTTCCATTTATATCACACATCATCTTTCTAATTCCATTCCTTTACTAATACATAGTGTCTTAGATCTCATTAAGATATTTATAATCCTTCTTTTAAATTCTGTTTTAATTTCTTTTAATCAGTGATGCCTCAGTTGTTGAGCCCTTATTGTTCTTCCAGAAGCTCAGAGGTCAGTTGCCAGCACCCATGCTGAGCAGCTCACAACTGCCTATTAACTGTGGCTTCAAAGTTTCCAGTGTCCTCTTCTGGCCTCTGTAGGCACCTATACATATGAGGCACCTATACATGTGACACATACTCACATAAACACATAAACACATAAATTTTAAAAATAGATCTTTAAAAATATTTAGGCTGTTGTGGTAGCACAAGCCCATAGGATATGTTAAAGAGGTGGAGGCAGGAGGATCACAAGTTCATGGCAAGTCTGGCCTACATATTTCAAATATTTTCACATTTAAAAAAAGAAATCTGGGCGGTGGTGGCACACACCTTTAATCCTAGCACTCGGGAGGTAGAAACAGGCAAATCTCTGTGAGTTTGAGGCCAGCCTAGTCTGTATCAGAGAAACCCTGTCTCAAAACACTAAAAGCAAATAAATTAAATTAAAATATTTAGTTAGCATAGATTCATTGAACAAGGTTATGGGTTTCACTGTGGCCTTTTGATTCTTTTTAAAGTCTAGTGCTGATAGCCATGCACGGACTCATGTGGAGTTCAGAGCTGAAAACAGATGTTCATGTGTTTTCCAACACAATACACACTGGAGCAGCACTCTATGATTGATGGAAATGAAGGAACATTCTAATTATCATTGCCTGTTTCATGAGGTTAACACCCTCCATTCCCCACAGTGCAGGACAGGGAGTGAGCTTAGGCTACTCTTCTGGACCAGGTTGTGTTTGCAGGCAGCTATCTGCAAACTGATGTAAAATGAAATGTCTGTGGAGGCCCATAGATGGCACTACACTGACTTTTCTGGCTCCTAGACAGTTCAAACTCATTCAGAAGTCCACTTAAGATGGATCCTGACTACAGAACCCAGAGTGTTCCCTGGGAGATGCCCAGAGATATGTTTCCAAAACAAGAATATGGATCAGAGTTCAGAATACTATCTCAATGGGCTGCAAGCCCATGAGGATTGTGGGACTTGCTAGTAGATAGAATGGTCTCCATCTAGATGCTGCTGAGTTTACTATGAAGTTCCGTTTTGCCCCTCTGCCTGCAGAAGGAAGCTGTCCCCATCACCTACTATGGAACCAGGTGGCACTTGTTTTGTTTTCTCTCTATGCTTTTGTCCCAGTTCTCTTGAAAGGAGTCAGTCTCTCTCTCGCTGATTTCTAGTGTTTTCCCTCCAGTTGCCCAGCTCAAAATGCAGTAACATGCTTGTTTTGCTTGGGGAAAGGGTTTGATTATTTGTTTTATTCCACTTTGGTGATAATGAAATGAGTGTTGGGGACCTCTATTCTGTCAACTTGTGCCTCTCCTACTTTAATTTCAAAGCCATATATTCTTTTGTATGTATCATAGGTCATCAAAAAAAAAAAAAACTGATGTTTTAGTATCAATGGTGAGCTCAAAGCCGAGGGAGGCAGAAATTGTGAAACTACAATGTTTTTGCTGTTGTTTTATTTGTAGAATATGGGAAGAAATTGACTAAGAAATTTGAGGGCTGTGATGGGACACTAGACAGTCAAGTGTATGGATCTAGAGTTCATTAAAGAAATGTAGCTGGAGTTAAATTTGTATATAATCAACCACTGGCATGATAGATGGCTTACAGAGCATGTGTGGAAGGAATAAAAGGGGTGAAAGAGGAAAAAGATCAAGAATTGAGCCTATGTCTCTTCTAAATTTTAGAGAATGAAAGGGTAAGAAATATCCAGTAAAAGAGACTAAGGATAAATGGTTTCATTGGGAAGAAGGCAATGAAAATAGGATGTGTACCACCAATCAGCTGTTTCAGGGAAGGAAATGGAATGAATCATGTCTAGTAGGTAGATTTAAATTTAAAAAATAAGAGGGTAAAATGAGACCTAAGAACAATTCTGAACTCAATTTCCTGGAGTTCATTGATGACTCTAAATAGAGCACTTTAGATCACTAGGTTTTTGTTTGTTTTCTGTATCAGACCAGATATCAATATTTTAGAATTTATCATGGTCCCTATAGAGTTAATGAACATGATTGTACACCAATTAAAAATTCCATTTTACAGCCATCACATAGTGGGTTAGATTAGCCCATGGAACATAGTTCCCTATTGTCTAGTATAGGGAAAAAATCATAAAATTTAACATATCATTTGAGTGTGTTCAAAAGAAAAGAATCAGTGAATTTTGCTATGAGGATTGCAGTAGTTTGATAAGAATATAGGATGATGGAGAACAGTTTCACATTTCTTTTGGAAGAATTGATGTGATATCCCAAATGTAGATGATTTGGGCCTCAGAATACAGATATCCTTCCTACTTACTATGTACCAGAATAGCTGTAAAGCCCAGTACATGCTTCAGCCAGCCCTTTGCTATACTATTCTGGGCTTGCTCTCTAGGCTTCTGTCCTTAGCAATGCATTTTTACTTAGCATGATCATACTAGACCCAGGAATAATGTAAGTAGAAAAGGGAGTGGAGGGCTCATTTAGGATGCTATTTTTCCAATGATGGATCCTGTGATTTTGATTCTTTCTTAAGCAAAGAATGCTAGAAACTTTGTCCTTTCAGGTCAGAGAATAACAGCTGCTACAATTTTTATGAATAATGAACGCTATTTGCCTCCTCCACTGGGCCCTAACACTAATAGGGGACTGGTTTTCATTCTTCCTTTCCTTATCTGCCTTACTTCCTGTTACTTCTTTGAATCTAAGAAAAAGAAAGAAAAGACTAGCTACAAGAAGAATTGCTCCATACACACACATACACCAGTCAATTAGTAATGTCTATTTTTAGGGGTACTATATTAAACACTTTATGATTTATCTTTTTAAAACCACCATTTAACAAGTTTAAGCATTGCAAAAAGGGAATTATAGATCCCTTATACTCAAAAAATTACATGCCCATCTATAATACTCTGAGCTATGTTGAGAGAAAGTTGTAGGTACGCTTTGTTTGCCTTCTTGATCCAGGACCACACATTTGTTTCACTTGTCCTGCTTCTAGGACAATTGCTTGGCATTTTATGTTTCATGACATTGGCATCTATTGTAGTTATGAAATGCCTGTTTCTTCACCCTCAGTGTGAACTGTTGCCTTTGGAGCAGGAATACTTCACGGCTTTGTTTACTTTCCAGTACTCACACCCAGGAAACACATCATGTCAGATTATCTGTCCCACAACTGATATTGCCAGATTGCTCCCCTATACAGCTATTTCTTGCTATTCTTGTAACTGAATAAGTGAAAAGATGAATATCCTGTTTTCTCCCAGACTTGCAAATACTGATGACTCTTGAATGAATTTTCTCTTGTGGTAGTTAGAGAACAACTAACTGTTTAGTTAAGTCTTTCTGTAGCCTCAATGGCATCACAAATCTCAAATTCATTGTACCCATTGTTCATATTATGTGGGTTTGGCTTTATTATCCTTCATCATGTCACAGTTAATATAGGTTTTGTTCAAATATTGTTTCCAGTCAAACAACATTACATCCCAGTTTGCAGAGTGGATGCTAGATCTGGTTTGGTTACAAGGCTATCATCACATCCAGGGCTTCTTCAGAGAACAAATTAAAATTTTTAAATATCCTTCCTTTACTTTCATCCATCCTACCTTTGAACGTGACAATTCTTGTTCCCAGCATGCCTGCATTTATTCATTTGTTCCGTCCTACAGCAAATACCAAATAGTTTCAGTATTGTACTTGTATCACAATAAACCTACCAAGAAAATGTCTATGTTCCTTTAAAGTTCTGCCTTTAGAGGTACTGAGTACTATGTTCCACTCATGTATTTTGACATAATTCAGGACATCAAACCATTCCCTAATTCAGTATGGCATGGCCACATGCCATTGTCACACATAAAGATAATTACTAGATTAACAGATACCTTTGTGGAGTCTACTCTCTCTTTCCACCTTTACATGGGACCTGGGGGTCAAAATCAGGTAGTCAGGTTTGTGTCACTTTGTGGCAAGTGCCCTTACCATTGGTCAATCTAGCCATAATCCCGCCTCCTCTTCTGCATTCATATTGCACCACAAATATCATAAATGGTTTTGTTGTTGTTTTGTGTTGTCATTTGTTTGAATAAGAATGCAAATGAAGTCTATGTGGTAATTTGTTGATGAGGCTGGTCAGCTAAGTTGCAGAACTCCCTTTAAGCATTTTGTTTGTACTGGTTGGTTGCTGTGATATTTATGTTGAAGAACCCAGGTGATTTGTCGTACAGTTTTCCAAACTTCAGATTTTAATTTTTGTATCTTTATAAAGAAATCAAAGAAGCATGGAAAATCAAATAGTATTTGTCAACTAATCATGGAATCTATAGGTTTGAATGTACTCAGGTTCATTTGGAGCTTTGTTTTAACAGAACATACAAGGCTCCTTTGCGGTGATGTTTTGTTCTCCTGTCAGGAGGCTCAGGACTTCCAAATGGGCACTTTTTTATGCTCCAAATTCTTTTTTTTTCTTCATTTTTTTATTTGAATTAGAAACAAGATTGTTTTACATGTCAATCCCAGTTCCCTCTCCCTCCCTCCCCCAATTAACACCCTACCTATCCCATACCCTTTCTGCTCCCCAGCGAGGATGAGGCCTTCCATAGGGGGGTCTTCAGAATAGGGCCTAGCCCTACCCCACCACCAGCCGCCCCCCCATGTGTCTAGGCTCAGGGGATATCCCTCTATGTGGAATGGGCTCCCAAAGTCCATTCCTATGCTAGGGATAAGTACTGATCCACTACAAGAGGCCCCATAGATTTCTGAGGTCTCCTCACTGACACCATGTTCATGGAGTCTGTATCAGTCCCATGATGGTCCCCAGCTATTAGTCTGGGGAACAAGAGCTCTCCTTTGTTCAGGTCAACTGTTTCTGTGGGTTTCACCAGCCTGGTCTGGACCCCTTTGCTTATCACTCCTCCTCCTCTGCAACTGGATTCCAGTTCAGTGTTTAGCTGTGGGTCTCTGCTTCTACTTCTACCAGCTGCTGGGTGAATGCTCTAGGATGGCATATAAGTCAGTCATCAATCTCATCATCAGGGGAGGACATTTAAGGTAGCCTCTCCTCTGTTGCTTGGATTGTTAGTTGGTGTTATTTTGTAGATCTCCAGACATTTCCCTAGTGCCTGATTGCTCTGTAAACCTATAATGTCTCCCTTATCTTGTTCTCCTCTATTCTTCCCCCAACTCAACCTTCCTGCTCCCTCATGTCCTCCTCACCCCTCCTCATTCTCCTAGTTCCCTCTCCTCTCCCCGCTTGCTTCTAATTTGCTCAGGAGATCTTGTCCCTTTCCTCTTCTCCAGGGAACCATGTATGTCTCTCTACAGAGTCCTCCTTGTTTCCTAGCTTCTCTGTGTGGATTGTAGGCTGGTAATCCTTTGCTCTATGTCTAAAATCCATATATGAGTGAGTGCATTCCATGTTTGTCTTTTGTGACTGGGTTACCTCACTGAAGATGCTTTCTTCTAGTTCCATCCATTTTCCTGCAAATTTCAAGTTTCCATTGTTTTCTTTTTTTTCTGCTGAGTAGTCCTCCATTGTGTAAATGTGCCACTTTTTCTTTATCCATTCTTCAGTTAAGGGGCATCTAGGTTGCTTCCAGATTCTGGATATTACAAATAATGCTGCTATGAACATTGTTGAACACATGTCCTTGTTGTATGAATGTGCTTCTTTTGGGTGTATTTATGCTCCAAATTCTTGATCTGAGATCCAACACTTGATCTTTGATTTAACTCTTCTTGGTCACATTATTAGTTATTCTTTAACATATTTTGTTTTACAATTCTGTTCCTGCATGAAAATGAGCTATCTCTATTATACAAAGTGATGCCTAAACAGCTTTCCCAAGTGAACACCACTATAAGGAAATAAGTAGTTTTATTTATTCTTCTCCCATACAATATATCCTGACAACAGCTTCCCCTCCCTCCTGGATCCACTGCTCCCCTAGAAACAAATATTTATAAAAATTAAGACAAGCTGCAGGGAAAGCAAATTTGAGCCATATACAAGTTTAAATTCCATCAGAGAACCATTAAGGAATCAGCAGATGAAAAAAAAAACAAAGAACAGGAATAGGCCCCTAGTTCTAGAGTTTTCTGGATATGAAGGATAAACACATGCCATTTGTCTTTAAGAATATGGAATTTAAGTGGGAGAAGATGAGATTTGAGCATTCTGTTTTCTTCCTTATGGATAATTTATTTTATCTTGTGCCAGATTACCAAAGCATTCTTTGGTGGGGTCAATCCAGGAAGTTTCATACTGTTTGACCTATTAATTGGGACTTCTGAGTCACACTGATAAGATGCTGGCTCCTCACATGCGTGTTGTAATGTCTGTCACAACATGAAAGGTATTCACTTAACTGAGACAGGACAGAATCAGATCAACAGAAACATATACAGATTTCTACATGCATATATATGATAAACTACATGAGTTGAAGAGAATCCAATTAAAGACATAACACATTTACACAAAGTTTAATGAGAAACCTAATATGATTGTCTCCTTTCAACCTATGATATGGGATTGTGGGAAGATTCCTTTTTTAAATGGCCTTCTTAAGATACAATTTATATTAGTTGCATGACCTTAAAGTACACAGCTCTGTGTTCCCTGGTATATCCATAGGATATGTAACCATCACCACAATCTCACTTCTATCTACCCTAAAATAAGTCCATACACATCACCTGTCACTTTCTACCCTCCATACCTCATTACCTAGACTGTAAACAGCGACTTATTCACTTCTCTATTAACTACCCATTTATATGCAAGTTTTTAGATTGTTATGTCTAATGTGTCTCATTGAAATTCCTTTTATTTTTTATAATATCTATCATAAGAACAAGAAACTGAAAGAATTGCTACCTAAGAAAGAAAGATGTAGCGAAATAACCAAAAGAGATACTACTGAATCCAGTAACATGTTTTGGCATTACCGGGCATTACTGTCCAAGAATAACAGAATATGTGGTGTGACTTACACTAGGCAATTGCTTGTAATTTAATATAAACTTGAAGGAGGCATGGCTTTCTGAAATTTGTACTCACAGACAGTAAATAGCATCTGCAGCCAGTTCAATTCCTGACATCACAGCTCACCATTTGAGCAACTCTGGATACATACAGGAATAGTGGTGAGGCAGGCTTTGTGAAGCTAGCCTGTAGATCACACATGTGATGCCTTGAACTAAGGTAATTCAGTGCTCAATTAATATAATAATTGCTTAGTCAAACTCTAAAGTAGAATTCTTTCCTACGCCAACTTACCACATGCCACATTTGATTGCTGTTTTCAAAATCTCTATTCAAAGAAATTTCCTCCTTGAAGGCAATATATGGTGATTGAAAATGCTGTAATGTAGACAAAACAGCACTGATCAAGTACAATTAAAACTAGAACTGTAGGATGTGAGGGCGATCTGGCTGTGACATCTGTCACACCAGTGATCGCCAGGGTTGATTCGGCTGATCTGACAGGCTAGGTGGGTGTCTCCTTCTTCCCTCACCGGTCCATGTGTGTCCCTCCCAACTCTCAAACAGAGGAGGACTGAGCTTCCATAAGGTTATACAAGTAGCTGCATTCCCCTGCCAGAACCTCCAAACAAACTATCAAGATTAGAGCTGTAAACCAGCCTTTACTTTAGAGCCATGTGTTACATAAATAGCAAAAGTGCTAATTCATTCTATTCACCCAGCACTTATGTATCAGAATTTCCTCTTCTGTATTAAAAAGAAAACTTACAGTGGTAATAAAGTATATATATTATGGTACTATACATGTGTAGCCTCACAAACTACATATAACCCTTTATAGGTCAAAATATTAACATTAACTAATGTTAATTCAGTAAGACCCTATGTGCAAAACATTGAAATCTGTGTGAACTGAAATGGTGATTTTATTTTGTGTCCATACATGTAAGTGTGACCATGAAGGGGTCCAGTACCTTCCATGTTAGCAGGAAGGAATCAAAGTGCATTTGTTTGTAACACTGTTGTATAATTTTACTTCTGGGGTATCATGTATTTTCTGTCCTTTTAAAAGGTGTGCTGTTCAGTATTATTATGTCCAGTCAGAGAACTCATGATACACAACATTTTCATACTTGGGAAATGTTAACACATTACATTCCTTGCTTTGAAACATGAAAGAACTAATCAAAGACAACACTTCTTCATATTCCTTTAGCCAGTGAGGCAATGTAAATGGTGTGGTGTGGTGTGGTTTGCATGCAACACCACTTGGGGTCCTAGAGGCCTCTGCATTATCCATCTCTGTGTATTTGTGTGTTTACACCCCTGGCTTTCCTCCTCTTGGCATAATTTTGTATTTGCATGAGATTTCGTAATTGTTTTGCATGAAAAATCATCTGTAATGTTAAAGAGTAGTGTCTAACACCCCCTGTGATATCATAAGCCATTAATTCTTACATGATATTTTTTCTTTTACTTTCAGTTACTGGAGTTTAAATATGCTTGAAATGTAAAAGTGGCATGACACTGGAGTGATGCAAGAATATGCAATGTTCCTTTAAGGAAAATACAGGGCACTTCCCAGCCTTGTCTTTGGCTGCCAGTTTTCAATTACAAGTTATGATAAAGCTCTATTAAACACAGGTGCTGTCTGCAGACTTAAGTTCCAAGAATGCAGTGCTCTAATATGAGATATAATTCTTTTCCCAATCTGGCATAAAATTTAGCTCCTCTGACATTTCTGTACTTCTGTGTTTTCTGCATGAACTTGATAGAGGAGCACAAGTGTACAAAGCCAATGCCTTATTTGCACCCAATTGTTTTTGTCAAGCTTCTAATTAATGTGGGCACATGACTAAGTCCCATGAATGGGACAAAATGCTCACCTCTCAGCCAACAAGTACTCATTTCCTCCAATCTGTCACCTCTCTGGCTCCACAGTTCTTCCTGCCAGTGGCCAATGCTAACCCTGGGTTAGAATACCCCTTTTCACAGTTCCATTGACAATTCAATTTAAAAACCTGTGCGAGTAAGAAACCCTGGTCCCTGGGGATGTTTTTCTAGTGTTTTTAAGAAGCTAAAAGATTCAAAACAGTCAAGTATAGATGAAAATCAGGCTGATGGGACATTTTTGAAACATTATATACTATGAAATTAATAAGACTTGAATGGTCCCATTTCACAAAACACTTACGTAACAACAGCCACCATGCAAAAAAAAAAAATGAATTTTCTTTAAAAATCTACAAACAAGCATGTGCTAATCACTAGAGTGATTACATTCTAATAACTATAATATATATTATTTTTAATCCAGCTCCGTTTAAACTAAAAGAGGGTTTGTACTTTCAAGGTATTCATTCCAGTGTTTTCCCTTTACCAAAATGTAGGTGGGTGACTGTCATTTCTCCCATGCTTGGGTGATTACCAAGTAAATACCACATTAACAGCTTCTGGTTGAGTGCTTGCTGACTGTCACCAATGAAATCTGTGATACTGGTCTCAACCTCTCTGCTTCTCTAGCTAGTCCATAATGAGGATATGAGGCTAAATTATCTTTTGAATTAAAATGTTACACTATAATTATCATGTATCATAAATCACTTGATGCCTTGTGCAGTTTAAATTAAATCCAAGCTGAAATAATACAAATTCAATTTCAAGACAGCCAGATAATGAGGGAAAAGAACCCTACTTTTTAAATAGTCATTTTATTCCTGACAGTGATAAAATGAGAATTGTATAGCATTTTGTGTGGATATTGCCTCGTGTGATCTCAACACCTAAGAAGTGTGTTGATTTGTAGACAAAGATTCCAAACTTCAGAGAGATCCAGTTACTAGTCAAAGGTGACTGACCAACTGTAGAACTGAAAGAGAGTCTGGATCTTCTACTTTAAGACATCCCCTCTGTCACTATTTATCTACAAGGAATGTTCTGACTGTAAAACCACTTTTCCATGGCACCATTATCAAGAGTTGGCACTCCTTGAGAATCAAGTCTGCCTTTAGAATCCTCCAGCACCTCTGTTGAGTGTCCACTTGCGTCACTACAGCTCTCTGTGCTTTTACAAACTAGTTGTTCTGTCAGCATGAGCGTGACAACAATTAGACGTCCCCTGTTTTTGCCCCATGCCTTTTCTCCTTCACAGTCATTCAATGACAAGCGTAAAAAGAGCTTCATCTTTTCACGAAAATTCCCATTCTACAAGAACAAGGAGCAGAGTGAGCAGGAAACCAGTGATCCTGAACGTAAGTAGATTCCAAAGATAATGTCACATGCAACACAAGAAAAAATCTTCACGGGCAACACTCATGACAGGCTGTCCCACGCCACACACCAAGGCAAACAACATGGCAGGCAGGCAGGGCAGGTTTTACTACTGTGACCAGTGTTTGACTGCAGTCTGGATCCTTCCCTTCCTGGGGCTGTGTTTTGCAGAAAGGGCCTTGACAAATCTGGGGCTTCAATTCCAACAAGCATTTCTCCTTGACCAGGAACAGGTCGGGTTTGATCATGCAATTCCCTATGGCTTGAGAAAAATTTCCTTTCTGTTCAGACATATTGGATTACTTTGGATGCCAGCCTATTGGAAGTAATTCAATGGCTTCCACTGAGTATTGGTGCATTGGTTCACTCTTACCCTCCAGGAAGCCATTAAATATATGCTGAGGAGGGAGCTTATAGTGGTGGATACAGAATTTGTGATGAAATTTGGAATGGGGACATTCCTTGACAGTGAAAAAATTACATTCACGGAGTATTTCTCCACAATCTCTGGCTTCAACCTTTTGAAATTTCCTCTTATGACTCAGCTCAGGGAGTTTTGGATGAAAGTTGTTTCAAAACGAAAGAGAGTGGGATCCAGACTGCTTGGGCAACACGGTCTGTCATGGTAGTACCCGTTTCAACTCCACTGACCTCTACCTTCCTCTTCCGTGGCTGTTCTTCCTCTCTCATTGCTCTCTCTGGGGACTTCCATGCAGGACATCCCCGGATTAGGTGACGACGGTTATGGAACAAAGACTCTGAGTAAGTTTCCAGGAATGGTCACTGTTAACTTTTCTTTTCCTTTCCTTTTGAGTTTGGCTTTTGTTCCTTTTCTTGAGGGCCTTTCATTCCTAGCATGCACACGATACGAGTTTGATTTGTTACCTAGCTGTGAATGCTCCTACAAAATAATTTTCGGTCATTTTGTTCTGCATGTCAGCATTTAAAAGCGAAATGTCTCAGGCAGTGTAACTCCCGCTTCAGGCAACACCTCCCCCTTTCTGGCCGTGTGACAATGGCCAACATGGTCTGGATGCCCATCAGGACATCATTTGCTCAGCCACCAACTTCCTCTCAGAGCAAAAGACCATGTTGCAAAGAAAGGGTGAGCGAAGTGTTCTAGAATGGCAAAGTAGAAATATTCTTTATGGTCTTTCTTCTGCCTTTCCAACATGGGAAGATATAATGACCTTGCCCAATTATATAATTGGGCTATACTTTGCTGTTAATAAAGGAGCTGTTTTGTAGCCAAAAGCAACATGCATTCCCAAAAAGTAAATATTAAGCTATCTGAGCCTTAATTCTCTGTTATTAACTTTGACTGATTTTTTCTCTCTGACTTGCAGTGGTCCTGCTTGAACCGTTTGTATGATAATTTAGATAAATATTAATACCCTTTGCCTATTTGAGTTACCAGCTGCATTATGTTGTCAGGGATTCATCATGTAGTACAGAATGAAAAATAAGATGTATTAGACCTTTACATTTCCTACTTATTCATGTCTTTGGTCTATGTCTCGTTGCACTTAGCAATTAAAAGCAAGTATCTGTCTCAAAATCCTATGCTATGATTTTGCATTCTTTAATCCTAATTCCACTCTAGAAGCACCAATGTAATAAGAACAGAATGTTGTATCTTTTGCAAATGTATCATATACTCAATTTTGTTTTGCTTGTTTTAATGTAATAGCTACAGGAGATACTTTTAGTTGTTCATTTTATAAAGCAAAATACCATTGAGCTGGATTTCACATTCAAGGGCTGTTTTCATAAGCCTGCGCGTGTGCTGATGCCTGCCTTTCAGGATTTGAGTGTTGACTCTCAGTGACCTGGTTTAGACATACAGCTGGAGACAACAAAATCTGGTCAAGTGCTGCTCTCCTTAAAGATGAAAACTTTATCTTTGAAAGAATATATAAAGTATAGTATGAGATTTAACCACAGATTTCAGCATCATCTGGGGAATTTATACATTTTCCATTTGGAAAGGGAAAGTGATTGTTTTAGCCTATCATTAATAGTGAGCATCATTAAAAAGTATGTAATGAACAGATTTAATTAGCGAATCACTATTTTAAAGTAAGATAGGAATATCCATGAAGGTGCTGCAGTATGGGATTGTATCATCTCTGTGAGCTTGGTGATAGAAAGCAGACTTGCATGGGTTCATCTATCCCCTGTCACCATGAGTCCTTGAACTGTTAAATGTATGCCCAGATTAACAGCTCAACTCCAGCCATAAAGCCACATTTGAAATCACCATTTTCTTTGGTTCCCATTAGTTTTATGCTATAGAATCAATCCCCTCAGCAACCCCCCCCCAATAAAGGTATATGTCAAAGCATTTTAAAGCACTTTTTTTTTGCTGTTAAAGGATAGATAATGTGTCTCCTTTAAGTATTGCCAAACAGTTGAAAGCCAAGTAGTCACATATATATCATTTTAGTGCAGTGACATATGAAGAAGTTGATAAGTTGTATGTCATCAACTGAACATTACACATGTCTCTGCTGTTAGCCGAGACTTTCAGGATGAATTAAACATAATTCATGCCAGATCCCGCACTGGGCATCAGGCCATTTATCTCCTGCCTGCTCTATTCTCCCAGAATTTAATAGCTATTCAAGCAAGGATCATAGAATAAAAACTAAGTCATGAAACATTTCTCAGGAACTGATTGCTTCCTCCCATATTTTCTACTCAATGGAGCAGGAAAGAGCTTCAAAAATCCCTTTTAGACCCGAGGATTTGCTTGCAAAGTATTTAAATGGAAAAATCAAAGGGACCTCAGGCATCAGTTGGCAAATGCAGTCTTCCTTCAAAATAATAAGGGCTAAAATAGATAGAGAAAACCGCCTACACAACAGTGGATGGATACACACTGTCCTTCACAGCGCCAGTCTGGAAAATCAGAACTCTATGGATATGTCACTTGTAGGAAGGATGTCACCTGGGCTGCCATTGTTTGCTGTTTGATAATTAAAGGTTCTTTTCTTATTTGCTGAAAGGAAGAAACAGTATTGTACAAACTGGCAATAAAGTTTTCATCTTTGTCTTATCTGGGTTCTCTCAGTACGATTCTTCTGCAGCCTTTCACTCGCCCTTTGCTCATATTTCCAGTAGCTTTGCATGGGTGTGTCCTTTCAGTTCTGGCTGCTCTCTGACGCTTGATCCTTCTTTAATTTGCTGTGCTGTCCTTGCAGAACACGTCTCTTCTAATGCCAGCGATAGCGAAAGTAGCTGCCGTAAGTTACTGCTTGGGCTTGTGGTTCTTTTCTTTGCAGTTGCCCTCATTGCCTGTGGTAGTCATTTCAGAATCTTTTCAACTGCTGCCTTTTTTTTTAGTCATTGTTCTCCAAAGCAAATGGCTTGAAATGAAATCAGCATTTGATGTGGAAAGATACAAATGACACGGGAGCCATCAGTGGACCCTAACATGAGTTGTGCATTCAGGCACAGATTTTTCTAATACCAATTCGAAGCTCAGATGCTTGTAACCCCATGATGAAGGATTTTGACATTCTATTTCCCAAATCAATTTAACCTCCTTGTAGGAAGGAAGAAGGTCATGATTCTATTCTCCTTTTCATTTGGCCTTTTCCCTTCTTCTCCTGGAGCTGAAGCATTTCTAACTTACAGTGTTCCCTTTAGTACAGGTGTCTTTTGTATAACTTTCTTCTTGATTAATATTTTAAGACAACGTTATTTGGGGGATGGTTTGGGAAATTGATGAAAACACTTCATCTAATGCTGAGAGAATTTTCAAAACTTTTTAGGTCACAAAACATAACTGAAAAGGTAGGTAACTCTTTCTTTGGTCACCTCAAGCCATTTGCTTAGTGTGTGAAAATATTCACCAAACAATAAGCACATCCTTCTAATCACCCTCATGGTTTCTTGCTTCCTACTTGCTGGTGTTAGATGACTAATATAGTTACCTATTACCTCTGGGTCCTTATGATGTCTTTAACATTGATTTGCACTGCTTAATAAAAGAGGCTACCCCAAAAGCAATTGTCCAGGGTGTCAGAAAACTGCAGGCCCAATACATGACACACAGAAATAAACACCAATACAGAAATTGGTACTGTCTTTTGCTTAAATATTAGTTGAGAAGTAAATTGTTTGGGGCATCCCTGTCCTGCCCCATTATGAATGGTGCTTTATAAAGTCATGCCTTTTGAGGCAGAGGGCCAATTACTAAGTATAACTTGGAGTGCGGTTTTGAAGAAGTAGACTGATGGCCAATAGAATACACACACTAAACAAAGAAGGGTGTCAGGTAATGGTGAGGAACAGAAAAGGAAGGTGACACAGACCAAAGACTGAATGACAAAATTGTGATAAGATGCCAAAGCAAAATGTTAAAGTTACATAATTGTCAATTCAATAAGGTGTTACTAAGAAAGAAAATTCCATCAAATCTCACTGACAGAAGGATCCAGACTTCTTATGCTCAACCTAGTTGCACTCTTCCTACTCTTATGATTAACCCAACAGTAGGAGAAAATATTTCTCATGTGATTTTCAATTCAGAACCAGTGAAGAAGGAGGGGCCAAAACTTACCTTTCTGACTCCATGAGCCACCCTTGATGTTTCACGAGGAGAAATGTGACGTACTTAATTGGCCCTCGTGAAGACTGCTGACACTAATTTTTTTTTATTTTTCAGTTTTCAAGGGCTTTTCTCCCCTCCAGTAGACAGAGCTATAGAAAAGGAAAATGTATGCTTTGTTCTTCAGTCCCCTTTATGGAGTGTATTACCTTCTTTGGAAATCACGTTTTTGGAATATTTTTTTTCCAGAACCACGAAGTCATAGAATTTAGGCCACAGCTTTGAGCTGTTGGAGTGATGTGCCATGGTGACATCATTCTTTCCCCTCCCAAATAGTAGCTGCACACAAGAATTTGAGGGGATGGAGAAAACAATTGCATACACCATGAATTACCTATGAGAAAAGCGGGGCTTGGAGCTGGACTC